ATTCTTGAGGGAGGGATTGTTTCCAGCGGCCTTTAAAGAGATACTGGTGCTTCCCCTCCTCAAGAAGCTGTCACTGGACCCCACCATACTGGACAATTTTCGCCCAGTCTCCCACCTCCCCTTTTTAGGGGAGGTGGTTGAGAAAGTGGTAGCATTGCAGCTCCAGAGGATCCTGGAGGAAACAGATTATCTGGACCCCTTCCAGTCAGGTTTCAGGCCTGGATTGAGACAGAAACAGCATTGGTCACACTCATGGATGATCTCTGGCGGGAGCAGGATGGAGGTAGTGCATCCACCCTTGCTCTTCTTGACCTCTCAGTGGCTTTCAGTACCATCAACCATGGTATTCTTTTGGGCTGATTTAGGGAGTTGGGTGTGGGTGGCACAGTTCTGCGCTGGTTGTCTTCCTTCCTCCAAGGTCGATCCCAATCGGTGTTGACTGGGAGTGAGAGACCCAGCCCATGGCCCCTCCATTGTGGGTTGCCGCAGGTTTGGTACTCTCCCTGCTCCTTTTTAACATCTACATGAAATCACTGGGTGAGATCATCTGCCACCGTGGGCTGAGGTATCATCAACATGCAGATGATACCCAGTTATACATCTCCACCCCGGGTGACTTGAGTGATGCTGTGACCACCCTTTCACAGTGCCTGGAAGCTATGGGAGTCTGGATGGGGAATAACAGGCTTCAGCTAAACCCTGGTAAGACAGAGTGGCTGTGGATTGGAGGCCCCTCTGTATCCAAGAACTTATCATCTTTGGTTTTGGCTGGGGTTGCGCTGCCCCAAACAGACACAGTGCGTAATCTGGGGGTCCTCCTGGACTTAGAACTACTGCTCAAAGAGCAGGTGGCAATGATGACCAGGAGGGCCTTTGCCTACCTTCGGGTGGTGTGCCAGTTATGCCCCTTCTTGGATCAGGAGGCTCTCTAGTCAGTCACTCATGCCCAGGTCCTCTCTGTTAGACTATTGCAATGCACTCTACATGGGGCTACCCTTGAAAAATATCTGGAAGGTATAGCTGGTTCAAAATGCAGCTGCACGGATGATATTGGGTGCCCCAAGGATGGCACATGAAACACCTTTGCTGCGGGAGTTGCATTGGGTGCCAGTTTGCTTCCGGGTCCAATTCAAGGTGTTCATTATTACCTTTAAAGTCCTACATGGCATGGATCCAGGTTACCTGAGGGACCATCTCATCCCCATTACATCAGTCCCTCCCACCTGGTCAGGCAGAGAGGGCATGTTGCAGTTCCCATCAGCAAGGGAATGTTGGCTGGCAGGGCCCAGGAAGAGAGCCTTCTCTGCCATTGCCTCCACCCTTTGGAATATTCTCCCCCCAGAGATGCAGCTGGGCTCCCCCCCCCCAGCTTTCCGAAAAGATTTAAAGACCTGGCTCTATCAGTGTGCATGGGGTGATATGGACTCTACCCACCTCTGGGGGTGGTTAACCCACTAATGATGCTCCCTGGAATTATTTGCAAATTTTCTATCTCCTTGGAATGTATTTATTTTTAGGATTGTTTTTATGCTGTATTTTAATGAACTTTTATTTTGTAAACCACCCAGAGTCATTTCACAAGATGGGCAGTGACAAATTGGATGGATGGATGGATGGATGGATGGATGGATGGATGGATGGATGGATAAAATGGAGCTAAGTGGCTAGAGGGAAATATGGATTTAGCATTTGTTTCGATTTCTCTTTGTATTTAGTTGATAAGTACTCACATGTTTTACCTCTTGGCTAAAATTTAACTAGGCATGCTATTCTCTGGTAATAGTCTTACTTGCTTATGTAATCCTGGAAAGTGCCATGTCCTGTGTACTCCCTGAAAATAAATAGTGCGCGCTAGAGGTAATTGACTGGCTGCTTGAGATGATTGAACCTTGGAGCTCAGTGTTTAGTTACTGGCTCATGGGCTCCCTTCACCATAGCTGAGGCAACTAAACTGTTGTAGGCCTTAGTCTCCTCATACCAAGCTTAATGAGCAGTGCCAGTTTCTACCATGAGCAGCAGAATGGAGACATAAGAACATAGGGAAGTGTGATGCTGGCTGACAGCCATTTTTTATGCTTTTTCATTGGTCTGGTAAGCTCAGCCTGAGGGCTTTGTGTGACCCATAAGCATTTATGGAGGAAATTCTGAGACTTTGTAAAATGGAGGGGACAACTTGATGAATAAAATGCTGGGAAACAAGCCTGTGGCTTAAAATTTTTCTTTTTAAAGCCACACGGCCTTAATTATACCATATAATTTAGAGGTAACAACACTACTTTGTTAGAGTTGCAATGTCTGAATATCAGTGTACAAATTAACATATTTATTCAACAGTACTGATCAGACGAATTTTGGAAAAAAGTCTTTGTTATGTAACCTTGTTTTACAAAGCTTAGATTGTATCTTTTAAATATGTATGCCAATATTATCTCTAAGTGCATAATCTTTAACTTGTGATTTCAGAGCTACAAATGCTTCTGAAGATGTCATAAGCCTGCGTCCTCCGCGCTTCTTTGGGGACGATGGAGTCATTCGACCATACAGATTAAGAGATGGTGCCGGAAGTCAAATGTTACAGGTGAAGAGAGTAAATGATGAAATATATATGACATATATTTAACTTGACAGATTATATGTTATTTATCTGAATATGTCTTTATTTTTTTAGAAGTAGAATGAATTGTATTTAACCACTGCAGAATATTTTATTTAACTTGTCATAAATTTGAATCATATTTTGAATGATAATTACAAGAATATGATAATGTGCCTCTTGGTTCCAGTAGTGAAAACATTCTTTTTTGGTACAGTCATTTAAAACCTATGTTCATTTTTTTTTCAATAGTCAATAGAGATTTATTGTGTTAAAATATATCTGACCTTCTGCAGAGTCAGGAGATGATTAAACCCCCTTAAACATCATTTTCTTCCTAACCTAGAGATTTTCCTTCCTGCTAGTCCCCTTTCTACATTCATGGAAGCATTTATTTGTGCATGGGGCCATCGATACATATTACTTCTTTTACTAGATGAAATGTAGTCCCTGGTATTTTTTATGTAATAATACAGTCTATATAGAAATTTTATTTTTTAAGTCAATGACAGTTATTAAACTTAATATATGAAAATATATATTTCTGTATATTTAGAATTGTCAGTTAATATGGTTCAGAAACATAATTTTGATATTTAGCTGAACACCTAAAATCTCATTTTGAAGGAAATTAAAGTTTTAGTAATGCTGTTAGTTTTGCTATTTTAAATATTCCTTTAAGTGGAATTTTTAATGTAGAGAACAGTTTTAAATTTATACTTAAAGGAGTTTTTCAAATGCTAGGTTTAGCTAGATAAATTTTATTTTTTTTACATTTTCTGTTTTTAAAAGAACAGATTTAGAAATTCATTTTTTTAATTACATGATTTTATATACTCCATTTCTATTGGTGATATATATAAAAAATACAGACAATAAAAACCCAAACTGGCAACAATTAACAATTTATCTAAAAGATAGTCCACACACCATGCTTAGTAGAAATAGTCATAATGAGTGTATATATGCAGGACAATAGATAACATATTTTCTAGTGCTGGTTAAAATCAACAAAACTTTTATTAGAATTATTTCCAAAGCCTTAAGTTTAAAATAATGCCTTAATGCAAAACAAGAAACAATTATAATCTTGAAGATAAACTTAATGCATTTAACCAAATGTTCTTACATTGATACACTTGTTATTTTATTTTATTTTATTTATTTATTTTTGTTTTAAGATTTGTGGTAAATGTTACAAAAGGTATACTGCTTGGAATATTAATTATTGCTTAGAAAATTCAGGAAAAAATGATGAAGGAATTTATATTATAACATGTTAAATGAATCCATTCTCTTCTCAAAGCTCTTTTCGTTATTTTATAGAATTTTAATTTGTTTTTGCTGTTGATGCTGTCTTCAAAGGGGAAAAATAAATAAATTGATAACATGAGTGTGTAGTAACTATTTACTTCTTAAATTACATGTAAGTGAGAAGTAAATACAGTTTTTAAATAGTCTAATAACTAGAGTAACTAGATTGTACCACAAAGTTGTAGAAATTTGGATTGAGCTGAAGATTTGTAGTTCTAGCTTCATAACAATAACAATAATAAAAATAAAAAGAACTTGACTGCCTGCCAAACAATTGCACAACTTTTTCCCCATATTCTAAAACAGCAAGAGAACACAATTGTTCATTTCACATCCTGCTGTCTAAATCTGTGCAAATTAGACTAGAGATATTAATATACAGTCAGTTAGGAAGTATTCATGAATTGCAATTATAGCATGTTCAAATTTATTTACAAATTTTAATTTTAGCACTGAGTAGTTGGTACCATGATCCATAAATCTGGTATGCCTCCAGGGAGTTACATTACATTCCAAGGAAGGAAGGAAATCTATTGAAAACGAGAGCAAAGCTGTTTGGATCACAAGTTATCTTTTTTCAAGGTTTTCCATTTTATGCTTTAGTTATAAAATTTATAAGTTCAGTGACATAGACAATGTAAATTATTTTATTTTGCATAGCCATGAGCCAATTTTGCCTGTCCTTTTTAAATTCAAAAAAATCTTAGGACATCTTTGAGGTAGTTGGTTGAATAAGAGGTTGTAATACAGGATTGACATATCACTAATTAGAGTTTTTCTTCTGCATGCTAAAATACAAAAGCTACATCTCATCTTTAATTTTCTTCTTTCACTCTCTCTTTTGCATTTAAAATTTCAACCCAAATTGGATAGCATCAACTAACCCTTCTGCTTCTTTCTTCTCTTACCCATGCTTACAGAAAAGACAGGCCTACAGGAAATGGACTATGTGCCATATTAGTGGTAGTGATGATGATGATATTGATGATGATGATGATGATGATGACAGTTAGGATAATAATGTATGCCTTATTTGTTGAATTACAACAGCTGAATGTTACTGTTTCTTTTGTGAGACTGCCAGAGAAAAAATTACAATAATTGTTATAAAATTGTATTCTAAATGTAAATTTTAAAATATATTCTAATACTTCAACATTAATGAAAATAAATTGCTGTTTAACTTGTATTTATTTCATCTGTTACATTGAAACATTGTTTGACATTAACCATAATCTTGTGACAATGACGTGATTGAAAATATTGTCAGAAGATTATATAGTGCTTCTTAAAATATTATATTTTCCATTCCATTATTTTAATTTGATGCTTTAAATCATTTGTGCATTTTTAGAGAAAATTACTTTTATATATGAAAACAGTGTCTTGTGTTGTCATATACATTGTGGATGTTAATGTTGTCTTATATTCTTTTTAGGTATATTGTCTTTATTCTGTAATAACAATAAATAAGTCTATATAAGAAAAGATTGATCTGTTCTGTTCAAACTTTCACATCATTTTTCCTAGCCATACTGCTTTCCCTTCTAAATTTCTCATGAAAAAGTTTGCTATATCAAAATTGATTTATATAGAGAGAGACTTTTATGTCTTACATACTTTCATCCTCAGAGACATAGTTTATTTTTTTTTGTTTTTATACTTTCATTTAGTTTAAATTATCTTTTTAAATGTAGAGTGAATAGAGGTGTTTTTTCTTTTAATTCTCTGGTTAAAATGAAACTCTAATAATGACCTGTAAGTAAGTGTATCTAGATCTAAATGATCTAGAGTAAGAAATCACTCCATCCTAAGTTTGATCTTAGGTAGCTGAAGCTTCCAAAACACAGAAGACCTAAAAAAAAAAACAGTAGATTTTTTTTCCTACTACTGTTTCCTTTTCACTCAGAGGTTGGAAAAAGCATATGTAGAAATCTGCATATGACTATTTCTGTTTCATCAGGCAATGATGATCCAGGGACCATCTTGTAATTATATATTAGGTTTATATTCAGTGGTTTATCAGACATTTTATAAAGTTTCTTTTTCATGCTATTTAATAATAACAATGCTATAAAAACCTGGTTTTCCTAAGAAAATATAACTTTAAAAGATGTAATTTTAAAGCTTCTTATCAGAACACAAGAAAGACACTTGGATTTGCAATGGATTATTTCCTGGGATGGGTTATTCAAGAATACAATCAAAATATTTTCAACAATCCAATTTGTAATTTACTCACTGATCTTCAATAATTTTTCTGTTTGGCCAGTGAAATGGGCTTTTTTTTTTTTTTGCTTGAAATAAGGTTTGTTGATAAAAACAGATCGCTTGTAAGAAAATCTGGGCCTATTATAGAGGGTTTTTCTTTAAAAAGAGAGATACATATTTTTCTTTCCAAGCCTAACCTGAACCTTTTGTCAGTGCAAATAAATTTTTATTCTTTTCAGAAATTCAGCACTGAGGCTAAAGAAATGGGCATCTTTAAGCAGTGGAGTGTTATCTCTGCATTATAACAGCTACCATAAGCCTGTCATATAATGAACAGTTGTGCCTCACCTTAGTTTTATGAACCAATAAAACGTTCTTTTGGAGGAAAGCAGAAGCACCGTAAATAATAGGAGGAGGATAGGTGCCTCCCCTTACCCTATGGCTTCGTCATCCAGGAATTATTTACCCTTCTGAACATGGGAACTGAGTGGATATTTTTCTTAAGATCAGTTATATGAGTAGAAAACTTTACCCAGGGAACAAGAAAAAAATTCCCAATTCTTTCTATGAATATTATGAAAGTAGAAATCCAGTAAGGGCATGACACATGTATCACTCCTAAAATCTTTTATGTCAGTTAGATTTGGTTTCTGATTATAAATATTAGGTAACTTCGGAAATGACCGGATCACAAATTACAAATGAACTATCCATTAATGGCTGGAGTTTTCCCAATATTGTGGGGTTAATACAGTGTGATACTGTATTTAAAACTTGCTTCTCATGAACAGGATGAAAATAAGTTGAAACTTGAAATGTAATAGGGAATTTAAATTATACTCAGATAGGGAACTATCATATTATATACAGTTTGGTGTCTTTGAAGTTGAAATACAGCTTGGAGTCTTTGAAATCCAAGAATTAACAATTTCACATACTGGCTGGTCATTTTCTTTTAAAGCAAAGTGAATAAGTGTATCTACATCTCTGAGGTCTTAAGATTTTTAAAAGCAATGGAGATGGAAGCATGCAGAGAGACTTCAAGAATGGGATTCTCTAAATCAGGAAATTGATAATATTCATAAAATTTCCGCTTACCCACAGGGTTGGCACAAGATTGTTAGGTTTTGGATCCTTCTGTGGTCTTTTTTCTGATACTGTCTAAGAATATAACTGAGGTGAAACTCCAGACCACAGCTTCTTACTGTGCTGTTTGTACAATTCTTATAGATTATACTAACTGTAGGCTTGACAAAACTAATAAAAAGAAGCATAAATTTTCACTTGCCTTTCTCAGTTCTTCCAGCTGGTGTAAAGATTTGGTCCAAACAGAGAGGACAAGCAAATGGGCTACATTGATCATAATAGTTCCTTTAAATGCTGGCAATTTTACCTTTCCATATAGGGCTTGAAGGGATTCAGTCTTTAGAAAAAGTTGTTATAATCTAAGATGGAAATGTAGCTGTAAAATATGATAAGAAAAAGACAGTTCCCTGGCTGTATGAATATAATTGTAAGAAAATATTTAGTTGTAATGCATATTAAGGAACAAGTGCAAACAAAGTTATAAACCATGGTAATCTGATTGTCATAGCAGCTAACTTCAGAGGCCTGCGTACCGTATTTGGAGATCTGCCATAGCAGGTAACTTTACAGGATCCCTCTTGCAGCTGTCCAACAAATTAATATAACTGTTTATTGATAAATGGTTTCACTCAAGTTAAACATATTAACCAGTGAACCAGGAAATTTATTTTACAGGGCAAATGTTGCTAGCACTACCCTGGAATTTTTCAGTTGGGTTTTCGTTTCCGAAGGGAACATTGTACATATGTAATGCCAGACTGGTAGATCATTTCTGAACTTATTAAAGTTATATTAAATGTGAATATGCATTTCTAGATAAATCAATTAATTACAGCACATTTAGTGCCAGAACAGTGAAAAGATGAGTGGATTCACTAAAGCAGATCTGTATTTACAAAAATAATGACCTGCTGCAGAGCTCCCCATCAGTTGTTTGATGTAACAGCAAATGTTCACCAAATTCTTTCCAGAAATAGAACATAGTTCCAATTCATTCAACCCAGTCTGGAAAATATAAGAGAGAGCACATACCAAAAAAAGGTTAGTAGCCAAAAGCAGGGCAAAGATGGAGCTACTCCATTACAGTATGTCAAAAAGTATCAAAAGCAGCTCTAGTGATTTTGGTCCCTCAAGCAGAAAATCTCACAAGTGTCTTTCCCTGCCAGTAAAATCCACTTCTTTGAAGAAAGCAACATACAAGTTTTCAAAAGATTTGTAATGTGAATGTTTAAGAAAAGTCTCCTTGAATTGAATTCAACTCATAGTAATTACATTGATACATCCATTTTGTTTAGTTGGCAAAAATACAGAAAAGTGAAAGCTTGCTGAAGAAAGCACTAAAGTTGAAATAAATAGTTAATACTAAGAATAATACAGAATGGTGTTACAAAAGACCAAACTGCAGTACATTTAGGTAGACATACAGTGCATTCAGAAAGTATTCAGACCCCCTTCACTTTTTTCAATTTTGTTATGTTGCAGCCTGATATTACAATCGTTCA